TGGAAAGTAAAGGACTAAATATGAGCAGGGATCAAATGATCAGAAGCTCACAGTGAGTAATAAACTAGCAGTGAGTTAATAACGGGAGGCCCTAATGTTTACAAAACAATTCAAATATTAGAATGTACAAAGGCAATCACTTTCTCCATATGAATCAGTGCTAGTCAAGACCTTATCAAGACACACTGCCCTCCATCAGGGCCTGAAATGGAGAATTTTGAGAAGATTCCGCCAAATAGCGCCACCGAGAGGATGCAAGTGCGGGAGAAAGCTCTGGGGAGGTTTAATTATTGTCTTTGGGTGTGTGAGGCTCCCACACAGAGTACAGAGTCACGGAAGAATGGAGTCGAAGCCATGTGTAAGGCCAAAAGCACTGGATTCATAAGGCAACAGCAGAAGGCATTGGATTCAGACATTTTCTGGCTTTGAGTGTTATTGAATAATTGATTCAAACAACAAGCTGGATTGAGGACTCGTTCTCAGAGATCTTTCAGAGCCAGTTTTTCATCTCTCTGCACCTAAGAAAGGAACGGGTAAGATGGAATCTCTGGTTCTCTAGTTCAGTCAATTCTTGATTATCTGTGATTCTGAACTGATTTATCAATTATTCAAACAATTTAGAGAAAAGCTATTTTTCTCCTGTAAAGCTGATATTTAAGTATCAGATGCTCAATGCCCTATCCTAGCTTTGGGAGCTCTCAGTTGAAAGACACCACAATACTGAACTTTTATTATCAACAATTCTAAAATGAATTTTTAATTTGTGACGCTCAGTAACAAGTCAAAGTTTGTCCTGAACTAGGGAAATATACATATGTTTAAAGAAAGTCAGACTTTCTATGTTCTGATGCTAATGACTTGTTTTTCTCTCCCAGCTCTGCCGAGTCAATTTAAACCAGTGAAATGGAGTAATTTCATAATGGCACAAACAGGGCACAGCTAAAAAAAAAAAAAAAAAAAAAAAATGTTTCTCTACTGTCAAAGACAAAGACCTCAAGGAGATAAACTCTTGTTACCTTGTTACTCCCTCCCCAGCATCTGACAGGCATTTCTACTATGGGATTTTTTTTTTTTTTTTTTTTTTTTGCCTCAAAAGAAGCAAAAACAGAATGCATATAGTTCATCAGGATATCTGTAAAAGAGACTATTTTTTTCTTTTCAACATGACAAGAAATTAATATTTGAGCTTTCCGAATTTCTTAAAACTTCTACTTGTTAACAAAATTATGATGTGAAAATAGTTTTAAAAGAACAAAAATGACAAAGAAAATCTAATTCTATAAAAATAAACTCTTGTTCCTGGAGGATGGAAATCAGATTACCTTTAGGATCTCTGAGAAAAACATCCAAGGAAAGACCAAACAAATGAGAGAGAACTTAGAAATAGTACAAAAAGAAAAAAAAAAAAAGAGAGAGAGAGACTTTTCAACGTTGTTGCAAATAGTGGGCTTGATCATTTTTCCCATTTGATCCCCATTGGATCAGTAATGAGGAAGTACACGAAATATTTTACAAGAAAATCTGAGGCTATTGAGCGTAAACCTTGAAAGTTTTGTAGTAATTCCTAATAAATAGCACTCTTAAAAGTGTTTTATTTTTAATCTGGCTGTTAAGCATTCTCTGGAGTTAACTGTCTTATATTCTTCTAATGTTTTAGACGTTTTCCACCAATGTCAAATAGAAGTTTACTTTTCTCAGTGCTAATATACTAAACATACCAAGTAACTCATAACGTTTCTCTCTTTACAAACCTCAAGTGTATAAAGGTTACAAGTGGTAGAATTCAAATAAATGTATAATATTTTATCAAAGGGAAACTTCACTTTCATGGTGATACACATGCCCTGGGACATTTTTCCCAGGTAAAAACATCTATCTACAGCTGTGTGTATAAAGACAAAATAACATAGTGTGGAATGGCATTTAACTAAATTATATAAGCTACTGAATTACTCTTGCAATTGTTATTTTTTTTTCTTAAGTGAGTATTTACATGTTTTTATGGGTTTAGCCTAGACACTTCTACGTAGTTAGTGTTCAGTAAATATCAGTGATTTATTTGGGAAGAGGGAAGTGTCTTAATCTGCACAATCTCTCCAGTCTGCTTGCTTACTAAATTCAGACAGGATCGAAAAATTAGAAACTTTCGCTCTTCGAAAGACACTATTTACAAAATGATGATACAAACCCCAAACTGGGAAAAAGTATTTGCAAAATATATATTGGATGAAGAACGTGCATTCAAAACAAGTTTAAAAACGCTCATGGCTTGACAAGAAAAAGACATACAGCTAAATTATTTTCAATGAAAAAACATTTGAACAAACTTCCCAAAACTTCACAGATGGTAACTAAAGACATGAAACAATGTTCAATATCATTAAGTCATTAGCGAAATACAAATTAAACTGAGTTAGATATCACTACAAACCAAGCAGAGTGGCAAAAGTGTTTAAACCAACAGTGCCAAGTGTTGGTGAGGATACGGAACAACTGGAATTCTCATCTGTTGTTCCTGGAATGTAAAATGTTCCAACCGCTTTGGAAAATAGTTTGGCAGTCTTATGATGCATTCTCCATTTGGTCTACCAATCCTATTTCTAGGTATTTGCCCACGAGAAATGGAAAGGCATGTCCACACCAAGACCTGTGAGGTTAATTTTTATAGTAGCCTTATTCATAATTGTTAATAACAGGAAACAACCCAAATGTCCACAAATTAATGAGTGCACATATAAATTGTAACACAAGCATACGATGGGATATTACTCAGAAAATGAAAAAGAACAGACTAATGCTACCTGCAACCGCGTGGATGAATCTTAAAAACAGTATGCTAAGTGAAAGGAGTCAGGCACGAGAAAACTCCATGAGTCGATTTGTATGATATTCTAAAAAAGGCAAAATTATAAGGACAGACCAGATCTGGTGGGTGCTGCGGGCTGGGAGTGAGAAAGGAGAATGACTACCCAGGCACATGGAAGAGGCTTTGGGGGTGATGGAAAGATTCTGTTTCTAAATTGTGATGGAGGTTACCTATTTACTTTTTCCAAAACTTAGGAGGGAAGATATTTTAAAAGGGTAATTTTTACTTTATGAAAATTATACCTTCAACAGACCTTTCACTAAAAGGAGACGTGTGTGAGTGGGTTTACACACCCATAGGTAAAGTGATGGCCAAGCAGCCTGCCTGCCGATGATGAGGACTGATCAGAGGGATTAGGTCATGCACCACGATTCCATTTAATTTCACTAGTTGACGCTATGCTCATAGGGCGTTTTATAAAGAACTGCCATCACCCCCAAACGCCATGAACCAGCACTGCCCCAACTCCCCCCAGTCAAATAAACCAAGCTTTTCACATTTTATTTGGTTTGGGTTTTGCACTCTTTCCCTTTAAGTGTTAAATTGTCAAGTTGGTGGCCCGACCACCCCCATCTATCCTAAGATGTTTCGTTTGCCCCTTTTATAGGATCTTAAACTTAACCCGAGTCATTTTCTAAAGAGCGATAATGGAAGTGTTACGGGCAGATTGCGATGCACAAGTGCAGAGTAAAGCTTTTACTTAAATGGAACCTACCCACAAAAGGAAGAACCCCAACGTCACCGCAGCAGGGCCATGGCGGTGACGGCGGTGAAAACACTATTATCAGGAGGATTCATTTCCACCTTACTTTAGACCTTTTGCTGTAATTCCTTATATAAAAATCTCTTTCTTTCCTTGACCATTAATACTGATAATTATATCTGTATTTCTTAAGAATATTATGAGTTGCCATTTCTGCATAGTAGCAGATTGAATTTATTCACCTTACGGATATATTATTATCACAGATAATAACTGCAGCATGATAATTATCATTAATTATTCATTTGGATTAAAAGGCAAATAGGCTTGTATTCAAGGGTCTTCCAGAGCACCGTTCATTGTTCCCGAGCCCTGTGTGCCAGTGTGACTAATTCATACTCTTTTCTGAGCCACTGTTGACATCTGACGGGTCCCATATGTATTTATTTGAAAATATAATAAAAGGAATAAGTACACCGTTTCGGGATGGAGTCACTAAAATAGACATATGGTTTCTTCTTTGCCCTTTAAGTGAGGGTGTGCAATTGTCTGTTAAAACCAGGCCGCCGTGAGCATTGCTTCGGTAGATGTGTATGTATTTCCTTTCTTTGCATCCTTGCCTCGGACTATTTAAGCTCATATAAGCCTGTATATTTACATAATAGCTTTTTGCAAAAATAATAATGTGGTGAGTCATATAGTTTATCCTTCATTGAACAAAATGTTTTTAGCAGGGTTGTTTGTGCTTGTGTTTGAAGCTGACTTCAGTTTAATATGCAAAAAGAACCTCTGCAAAGTTTGGAAAATCCGTAGAGAAATCAGAAAGAGAGAGGAGACAGAGAAAGAGAGGATGATACGTCTTACAAATGTGACTGCTTTTTGGTGGTTTGTTAGTAACATACCCCAAAATTGAGACATGTATATATTCGCAGAGTCTCTTTTATTTCTTCTCTTGGTCTTAGTCCTGATTTTTTTTTGTAACCTGCCATTCATATTTATACGTTTAAAGTAGATATCAAATGATGGTTTGAAGACTATGCCAGGAGAGCTAATATTAACATAGTCTTGAGTGTCCTTGACGTAGTTGGAACTACCTTTTGAAATGACAGTGGAGTTTTTTTCTTTGTCTCCATTGGTGATGCAAGAAAGGAGCTGATATACTGCACTGGATGTTGCTTTTGAAAGAGACTTGTGCTTGTATTTGTCAAGATACTTTCGCGCCGCCCTTCATTTTCTCCTCGTGACATTCCTCTGGGATACTGTAGGGCACTAGCATTATTCCCATCTATAGATCGGGAAATTGGGGGACCAGAAGAGTAAGTGGTGTTTAATTAGGGGTACACGGTGGTGGGACTAAATCAGGAACCCACGTCTCCAGACTCATCACCCCTCTTTCTGTGCCCCTCGGAGCACTGCTGTGAATCCTCTTACCCGGAAGATGAAGAAACAGGGAAGAACTTTGAAAACTCTGCCAGATGGAACTGCTGCAGATTTCAGAGCAGGAAGGGACCCCAGGAGCGGCGGCTGTGAGGCTTTGCAGCCCCTATCAGTGCTGACAGTGGGGCCCCTCCTATTTTTCAGCCGGTCCATTGAGGTGCAGTCACTCACGTCTGACAGAGGGGCGACGGTCAGAGACAGCTCTGTGAGCAGTAGACTCACGCTGTTGTAACGCAGGCTGTATTCCTGAATAGAAATCTCATTTTTAATCTATCATACTTAGAATAATAATAATAAGGACTCAAAACACCATATGCCAATAACTGCATTAAGCGAATTTCAGGCACTCTGCAAAGAAAATGGGTGCCCAGGCAGCTTTCCATCACTAAAGAATTGTTTAGGAAGAAGTCCCAATCTATGAGACATTTCTCTCTTTGACAATTAACAAAGTAGAAGAGGGGCACCTGGGTGGCTCAGGCGGTTAAGCCTCTGACTCAAGTTCAGCTCAGGTCATGATCTGACTACTCGTGAGTTCGAGACCCACGTCAGGGTCTGTGCTGACAGAGCAGAGACTGCTTGGGATTCGTTCTCTCCTCTCTATCTCTCTGCCCCTCTCCTGCTCACATTCTCTCTCTCTGTCTCTCTCTCTGTCTCTCTCTCTCTCAAATAAATAAACTTAAAAAACAAGAAAGAAATAGAGCTTGTAAACATTTCTTCTTGGGGATTTGGACTTTAACTTTACCATCCATCTACTCATCTTACAAGGATTTATTGACTACCTAGGATATCAAGCTCTATTCTAGGTACCGGGGATATAACTCTGAATAACACAAAGCCCCTGTGTCTTAGTTCATCCAGGCCCCTGTAACAGTGTATCACAGACCAGTGGCCTATAAATAATGGAAATTTATTGTTCACGGTTCTGGAAGCTGGGCAAGTCCAAGATCAAGGTGCTGGCAGATTTGGTGTCTGGTGAGAACCCACCTCCTGGTTCATCGACAGCCATCTTCTTACCGTGTCCTCACATGATAGAGGAGATGAGGGGGCCTTCTGGGGTCCCCTTTTATAAAGGCACTAATCCCATTCTTGGCAGTGTCACTGTCGTGACCAAATCACCTCCCAAAGCCCCGCCCCAAATGCCATCTTACTGGGGGTTTGATTTCAACATATGAATTTGGAAGGAACATAAGCATTCAGTCTATAATAACCTGCCCTTGGACGGGATGCATTTGAGTGGGGCAGAAAGACGATGCACAAATATTGCATATTTCATAGTAGTGACAAGCGATATGAGGAAGAAGAATGTAGAGAAAGGCAGTAAAACGGACAGGTGTTGATTGGGGGCAACACAAGATGGGGCAGAGAGAAGGCACAACCAAGGCATGTGAAATGAGAGATGAGCAAAGATGCTGTTGTGTGTAGACTCCGGGGTCATCCCAGGGGGAAGGCCAGCAAATGCAAAGGGATTCACGTGAGTGCAGGTGTTCAAAAGAAGAATCAGAACCCACAAAGCATCGTGCGCCAGATAAAAATGTTCTTGCCGGTGATATTTAATTTGTTGTCAGCCTCTTTAATTTCCCTCTGAACATTTTTCTCTCTTCCTCTGAATAGGATTCTCTTCTGGCTGAGTCTCTTTGATCTGATTGTTTATGTATTTCTTTTTGGCCATGTTATGTTGACATTTCTGTCAACTCCCTGAAATCCGGTTCTAAAAATGGAAAATTCTTCTAATAGTCATGATCACTTGAATATAAAATAACCTGGCACATGAGAAAACAGAGCCATGAATTACAACTGCTTTACAATTGAATTATGTTAAGTTTTGATGGATTGGAGGAAGAGGCCAAATTACATGAATTGTCGCTCCTGATGCTTTCCTTTTTTCTGAAAGGAATGCTGACTTTAAATCAAGCAGGCTTATTTAAAAAAGACTAGCTAAGAGCTAGAGTTTCCTGAAAGCTCACATTACATAAGAGGCTCCACTGAGCACTCGGCATGTTATTCCTAACCTGCACATAATCCGATGCAGTGCACATCATTACCCCCATTTTCAGGTGAGAAAGCTGAGGTTCAAGTAGAATCACTAAGGCAAAGTTGTCTAGCCAAGTTTCCATTGTTCCAAAGCTGTGCACTTAACCATCATCTCTTCATTACAGTGGGGAAATAACAAGCCTTCTTCAGCACGGGGATGACATAGATTTCTGTTTCAAACAGAGAATTCCGGCAGCAACGGAAAGGATGGATCGGGGAGGGATGACTGTGGGGTTAAGACAAGTGGGAGATAATTTCAGTTCAAGAGACAGACCTTAAACGAGCAGCATTGTCAATAGTGGTTCCGGTAACAATCAGCCAGCCTCTAGAGGACACGTATGGACTCTGCTATCCAAAATCAGGTGAATCTGGGTAAAAATGCCTATTCAAATGAGCTACAGAATAATAACTTGACCATGTTTTATATAATCTTCCTGTAGCAGAAGAACACTGCCCTCTATTGCTTTTTGTCTCTTGGCTCTCAGTGGCCCAACCTGTACCAGGAAAAGAGGTGCCATCAGTCAGTGGGCAAATTGGTTGAAGAGTTTGAAATGTGCCCCTGGATGATCAGTAAAAGGTCCCCATCTAAACGGTCAGCTCACCACAGGTGCTCAGGAGTCTCACCCAGTTCTTCTAGAACGCATACAGGCTTTAGCTCCCTGCCCCGACAAAAGTGATAAAGAGGCTCTGATATGTTTGTACAATTGCACAATTTTCAAACTTTATTGAAAATGTTAGTAACTGTAATTCAGTTCCCTAATCTAAATCGCCATACAGAATGTGTTGAATATACTTATTTTGCCTTGCTCTGGAAAAGATGGAATAATTATGAATACAAATGGTTGCTGCTTCTTTCACGTAAAAAAAAAGACATTACATACATATAAGTCAAATAGAGTATAAGAGAGAAATAGATGCAGTGTAATAATGATGAGAAACCATAATATCTGCTTGGAGGTAGATGCGAAATTGCCACTCATTACTCGAATGGCGAGAAAGTTAGTAGGCAATTAGCAACAGCAAATGCCAAGTGGAAGGATAATTTGTAAGACAACAATAAACACAGTCTATACCAATGAGTCAGAAAGAGGGAGGAAGCAGAAGAGCCAATAAAACAAGCAGAGCAGGCACGGGAAAGACTGCATTCGCACCGTGAGAAAATAAAACAAATCTTCTCCACTCCTCGTCATGACTTCCAGCATTTTCAGTTTGCGGCTTGTTCGGGACTAGCAGTGGCAAGAGCCAAGCTTAGAAAATTATAGTAATAATAAGCCACACTGTGTGAAAAAGCGTGCTTTCCGCCAACTAAACATCACCAGGACCTATTCACGGGGCAAGGCAAGCCCTTTTAGAGAAAGGGAAGCTATGAAAATAGAAAGCAATGATTCAGCCCTTGAAAATCAAAGAACAAATAATTATATAATCAGTGAAGAAGGACCTGAGAGGTGTAAATCAGTTGGCTCGGCTACATCCACACACACAGGAAGTAATTACAGTGAAGAATTTTTAAAATTAAGAAACGCAGCGATTGGAAGGATGATCCCTGCACATCTAACACGTCCACTGATTCCCGGCGCTCACCTGACCTGACACGTTCTGGACCAATCAAAACGTGTCTTAGTCTCAGTGATCTTCATAATCTTCCCCCATAATCTATGCCTTATGCAGAGAAGCTTTTCATACATGTGTAGATAGGACCATGTGTGTGGATCATATGTACAGTGAATGAAGTCTGCAGGTAGTAATACATATAAACATCTCTTAAGCAATGTAAGTTATCTAAGAAATGCTTAAGTGCGTCCTTTGCTACTCACTTCGTATGTGCTACCTCATTTAATCCTTACAGTCCTATAAGCTGGGTGCTATTATTTCATACCATATATATGAGGACACACCCTAAAATTTTAATTTCTTGCTCAAGGTGAAGCTGGATCTTAAAGTCAGATCTGTCAGATGACTAAATGTGAATGCATAACAATAGAGAAGGACAATATACATTATAGTTGAGAAGAGCATTCTAGAACCCCGGTGTCAGACAGACTGAACTAGAATCCTGGCTCTGTTCATGCCCTGCTTCTATTTAAAATCATTCAGCAGCTTAGTTCACTTAATCCTCACAGCTGCCCTGTAAGGGAAGAATGATGATGGTGATGACGCAGATGAGGACGGTGATGATTAAGGTGACGATGACAAGGATGTGACAGAGACAGGGGGTGGTGATGATGATGACGGTGATGATAATGATGATGGTAGGGAGGATGGTGATGATAATGATAATGTCCATTTTCCAGAATAGGCAAACTGAGAGGTTAACTAACCTGTTCAGAGGCAGCTGGCTAAATAAGAAGCTAAGTTAATGTTGACCAGAAAGCCTGTGATTTTACACATACTACTAAAATCCTGGAGCATTCCCCATCTAAGGGCCATCAGTCACGTCTCAGCTGTACTGGCTTCCTAACGCCGCATAACAAATTTAGCTGCCTCAACACACGTGCATCATCTCACACTTTCCATGAGTCAGGAGTTTGAGTGCAGCCCAGCGCTTAGGGTCCACAGCTCAGGATGTCACCTGGCTGCGGTCTGGGTGTCAGCTGAGCCACATTCCTTTCCCGGAGCACAAGGTCCTCTTCCAAGCTCATGTGGTTGTTGACAGAATTTAATTCCTTGTGGTTGTAGGACTGAGGTTCCTGCTTTCTTGCTGGCTATCAGCCAGGCACCTCTCTCAGCTTCCCGAGACCCCCACAATTCTTCACCGTTTGGCCCACTCCCAGACCCTCTAGAAACATGGCAGCTACTGATTCAAAGCCAAGAGGCAAATCTTCCTGACTTCTGGTCTTTTGTAAAGAGCTTGGCTGATAAGGTCAGCCCACCCAAAATAATCTCCCTCTGGGTTAACCTGAAGTCATTTGATTAGGAGCCTGATTTACCTATGCAAATTCCTTCCACCTTTGTCATACAATGTAGCAAAATCTTGGGAGTAACATCCTATCAACTTTGCTATATTCTATGGAGGGAAGTAATTGACAGGTCTCGCCCTCAAGGAGGGGCATTACACAGAGGGCCATTACCCTCAAGGGAGGGGCATTACATAAAGACTCGGTTCACAGGGGATCTTCTTGAAGTTATGCTGACCACAGCAACTTTGACATTACTTTCTTTAGGAGTTATCTGCTGTTCTCTGCAGTGGAGTTACTCTCTAATTCCCATGTGCCTTCCCGTACTTTCCAGTCATAGAATTTATCCAAGAGTAATGTCATGGCTTACTCCCCACTAGACGTCAAGCCCTTTCTGTCAGAGATTTTATCTTGCTCACCGTGGTATTCTCAGCATGGTTCTCAATGCATGTGATGAACAGGAACAATGATTATCCAAACAGCATTTCTTCAGACATATTAGTCCCTGCCAATGAACAAGGTTCAAAGGTCATGTTATCTTCTTGGATTTTTATCCAGTTCTCCTATTCAGCCAGTATTTTCACAGACATATCTAATAATTCAAAGGTCTACATTACACTAACAAATAAGAAGCGTAACAAACACATGATAGTTTTCACATCATCACTAACAGCGGATTTCTGAGTCATTTATTTTCTCGCTGTTTTCTAGGTGAAATATGCCCACGTTTGCAATATGAACAATACTTTCCAGTTTCACAATGCCTTATTAAAAAAGAAGTCTTCAAAGTAAATCCTTCCGTGTTATATAAATGGATTAAAAACATAGATTTGCCTCATTAAAGGCCGGAAAAGTAGTCCTTGAATTCAGGGTTAAAATGAAAAAAGTGCAAGCCATGGAAAGATGATATTACCACAATGCTATAAAATACCTACAGGCAAGGAAGTCTGTGAGGAAAACACAATAGAATTTTTGGTAACAAAGTAGAGGGCAGAGTTGAGGTGATAGAAAACAGATCCGTAAGGGAAGAACGTTTTAAAGTCCCAAGCCATGATTCTACCACGTCTTGAGATAAACAATTCAACAGTACAGGGAACCTGTGAACTGACATTTATCATTCACTTAAAAACCCACAGTGCTATGTGTTTGCATTCAGGGGTAACTTGAATCACATACTGTTGCCCTTAAAAATATATTGGAAATTGATCTTAGCTTTTTCACAAGTGGAGGCACAGAATCATTTGAATATTTTTTCAGGTTATAGCTAAAACTCCCTCAAGTTTGACTATTTTATTTTAGTCTTCATGTGTGGAAGGAACCACCGTGTGGACACTATTAATAAGAGTCCTTTGCTCTATTTCTAGGTGAGTCTATCACTGGGATAATCACAAAAGCGCGCCAGCTCTATAATTATTTAAGACTAAAAAAGATACGTCCAGGATTTGGACGACATTCAAGCTATTGCCTACAGCAACCTTTTTAAAAAGTTCTAAGGAGACTCCATAACCAGTTTATTGCTCCATTAAATAAAAGTATATCTTTTCCCTGACATGACTTCGGGATTCTCTCTTAGTGACCTAGCATCAAGATTCCCAAAGAGAAGGCTTGTAAATCATGCATGAAAATAAATGTAAGTCCAAATGCTCTGGGCTGCTCAGAGGGGGGGACAGGAGCAAAGGATGGAGAAGAAGTCTGTTGGGTCCTTTAAAACGTCTGACAATAAATAAATGAAAATAAGAAATGGGGCCGATAATACCAGAGTTTATGTCTTACTTTGTGTCCTACCTTTGTTGGCAGGCAGAGCCAGAATATGCTCTGTACCCAGCCATTTGTGTTTAGTTGAGCGAGAGGGAAAGGAAGAAACTCAAGGGCCAACAAAGCTTTTGCGGGCAGAAGAGAAATTGGCCGTATAATGATATCTCAGATCTATATTTGTCAGCCTATTACAGTAAACTCTGCTCTCTACTGTCTATTAATAGTTGGCACTTCTGCAAAACTGTAGTTCAAAGATAGCCAGTGTCCATAATGATGACCCGAGGGCTGCAGGAGCCCAGAGGGCTTCCTGCCCCATCCAAAGAGGTCACAGGCCCCTTGTGTCCTGAGCTCCAGCCATTCCAGACAGGTTTGCCCTCTCCGGCAACACATCCTGGGAGGGAGCTCTATGCCTTCCTTGCCATCCATTCTAGCAGCTGAGAATTCCTTCCCCTGTTAGCACAGCACTATGCCCAGAGTCAGGGGCTCCATCAAAACGTGCTGAATTAATGAATGGAAGTCAATGCTATAGGAATTTTTATCCACCGAAGCTTATTTTAACTCCTCGGACTACAGTGGAAGGCACTTGCCTACCACCCGTATCATTGGTGATTTTCTTCCGAATGCTTGAGAATTTCAGCCTTTCCTGCCTACAATGTACTAGCATGTTGCTGTACTCTGTCCAAAGGCCCGTCATAAGTTATCTCGTACATCCCGTCCTTTATACTCTCAGTGTCTACAGTTGTATCTGGCACGTGACAGGTGCTCAGTAAACAGATACTGGACAAATGGATCAAGAAGTGAATGAATGAATTGCCTCTACCACAATGTCTTTCCTGGATTGCTGCGAGAGATCCTTCAATGGACCCACTACTTACATACTTTACTCTAAATTGCATTAGTCATTATTTCCCAGACATACCTAGATTTTTCCCTATTTTTCCTCCTTCTTCAGGGTCCTCAAGTTTGACTCTATTCTTTTCATTCTCCAAGGCCTAGTTCAAACCTCCCTTCCTCCAGGAAGCCTTCACTGATAACCTTGGCTATAGTCTCCCCTACTCCAAACTCTGCTACTGCTGAGGCTGATCCTTTACTCCATTAATTCTCCTTACAAAGAAACCTGAAAATTAAATGTAATGAGTAAAACTTTATTTTGGGTATTCTAGTGTTTTATGTTTCAGATGAAAACAAATTTACATTTAATCACAGAAATTTGGGATGTTTGGGATAATGCTGCTTATTTTCTAATAAAAGCAGAAGAATGAGAAAATGAGTATATTAACTTTACCCCAAAGTCTGACATTCACTCTCAGCGTTACATAATCAATTTAATTTTATTTCTTCAAAGCATGAAAACAATTACTGATGTAAAAATTTGAAGGCACTTTGTTAATTGGCTGAATTTTAATTTTTAAAATAGATAGCTTTCCCAAAAGCCTAATAGGCAAAAGTCTCACCTTTGGATTTTTGAGCAAATATCACGGCATTTCATGTATTTAAACGTGTACAATTGATTCGATCAGTGAATGTTTCTTACAAGGTTTGTAAATGGCATGTGCAACAAAAGTTGTTTTTTTTTTCCCCCAAGATAACCCAGTTAGGCTTGACAGCTTGTTTACAATAGTACCCTGAAGACACATTCTACGGTGCTCAACTATATAAATATACATTTGAGATATACACTCTGGCTCGTAACATTTGTTAAACATCTGAAACATGAAGTCAATCCGGTTAGTGTGTTCTTTGTACCTCTTTAAATAGTATGAAGGAAATGGATCTCTAGACCTCACAAGTGCATCTATATACTCCTACTTCAATTGACATATACCACTGTGAAAATCAGAAAATAATTCAAAGACCTCAATAAAGAGAAAAAGATGGGGGATCCAAAGACACATTCTGGAAATACATGGCAAGCAGAGATAGAACACCAGTTATGAGAAATATGAGGGAGGGGCAGGGGTGCCTGGGTGGCTCAGTCGGTTGGGTGCCCGACTTTGGCTCAGGTCATGATCTCAGGTCGTGGGCTTGAGCCCTGCATCGAGTTCTGTGCTGACAGCGTGGAGCCCAGAGCCTGCTTCAGGTTCTATGTCTCCCTCTCTCTCTGCACCCCTCCCCACTCGTGCTCTGCCTTTCTCTGTCTCTCAAAAGTGAATAAACATTAAAATTTTTCAAAAAAATATATGAGGGAGGGGCATAAGGCAAAGGTCCTCTGTTAAATCATACTCTTAGACCATTAGAGCCAAAATTTCCACCATTAAGAATTCATTCCTTTGGATCAAAACATCCCATAGGAATGCTCTGTTAAAATGTGAACATTACACAGACTATTAATACATATTGGCTATTAGTATCATAGGCTCACCACACCAGTCAAGAATATCTCTGTAAGACCAAGAATGGGTTTCACTGAAGACTTGTAACAAGAGTGAAAAAAAATAGAATGTTCATGGCTCTGCTCCCATCGCTTTCTTAAGAACCCCAGCTCTCCCGAGATTCCTTCAGAGCAGACCTGGGAATTCTGAAAAGGGGCTTTCAACCACATTCCAGGAATCCCTCTTCCTGGTTATCATTTTGGTCATCTTGTAGCTGCAGATAACCAAAGGAACAAGTGTGCTATGAAGGCACCAAGGCTCTGTGATGAAGGTCTCAGCCACCCAAAGATGACAGCTTTGCTGCCCGTCCTTTGATGCTGTGGCTGCTGATGCCTGACGCTGAAGGAATTCACGTCTTTCCTAGAAAGTCATCTTTCCTCTCAGCCAAAGCTCTAGCCAACCATTTCTTCTTTTATCTTGAATCTTAATATATCAGCATTTTACAATTTTGTTCACTATTTTATTATAACTCCTGTGTCCCCGTGCTCTCGGTTGAATTATTTGATTTTCATGGATGACTCAATGGTCAAAATACAAGAAACTTCAATAAGCTTGCATATCATTCTATTGGGTTTGGGGAATTAAACTTATTTAAATTCCCGAAGCATTAACTCACTATCTCGTCTCATGTTTTGGTCTTCAACCACCTTTCAGCGATTTTTATGTTCTTTTTTTCCATTTTAAAACCATTCTCCTTGATGAAGAAAATAGAAACAAACTGGATTAAAGAGTAGGTTGGCTCTTTCTTTGATATGTGTTAACATCATAACATCTTTGAACAGCAGACACATCCACATTTTTCTTAGCCATTTTTAGCGATCTTGAACGTTAATAAACTTTTATCTTGTACTGATCTACAACCATTGTGACTCAGATCTTAAAGGTTTGTGCCTATCTTCTATATTTTTGTCTTAGTCATGAGTTCTTTCTGTCTTATTTGGTATATTACAAAATCTGAACTCACGAAGGAGCTAATTTTATAACTATTTTAGGTGCTTTAACCTTCAATCTCCTTTCCTTCTCACTTAAGTTAGTCCCACTTGCAAAGTCAGAATTACATATTTCTTTAAACTTCCCATTCCCTTTAAAATCATATTCTCTTAAAGAGTCTGTCCATGAGGTTTCTCTAGTTTGGGGAAGCTGTTTTCATGGGAGACAAAATGGTACAAGGAAAAGGACACAAACTCTGGAGTCTGAAAATCTATGGCCATCTTCTAGCCTGGCTAGTGCAGAAGAGATGATGCATAAATATCAAATAAGTGAATGAATGAATGAGTGAATGAATGAATGGTGATCTCAAACAAGTTAATCCCATTGAGCCTCAGTTTTCATATCTGTAAAATGGTAACACAAATATCTATTTTAGAGGCCCATTGTCATAAGTAAATGAGCCATATTATCTCTAGGAGCATTTCTAATGACAGCATTTTTCTTTTTAGCTTTGCAGAAGTTCCAAGCTCACCCTGGGATTTAGGTATGCTCATAGGGCTGGCTGTCTTGACATCCTTGTAGAGTTGGTTGGCTCTCTTAACATTTTTAATCTTTCATTTTTTATTAAATTTATGTATGCACATACTTTAAAGATTCACCCAGGTCTATAAATTTTGTTAATAAGCAGCTGTTGTTAGCATCTTCCCTCCAGCACCCTCAACTTCCCTTTCTTCAGAGGTAACCACTTTTAACATTTGTAGCTGATTGTGTTGGTATTTACCTGTGTATTCTAAATGACACGCTTACATTGCTTGTACTTGATATTTCCAGCTCTGGATATTGACTCCCCACATGGAAGGTTAGCACGTTACACTCTTCCCTTCCTAGTCTCCACCATACATAGACGCCTACCTCTCACACCCCAGCCTCTCAATATAGTTATTTTAAATGTTTGATTACATTAACATTCAGCATGGACAATATTTTGGGTCTGTACCATTCAGGGCTAAGCCGTGGGATCAATGGTAATTACCTTTACTTTCCTGCATATTTTAAATTGTTTCTGGCAACTAATATTGCCTTATCTATTTTCTTAGCTTTCTGTGTTCTTGTCACAGATTCATTTCAAACTTACCACGTCCCAGGTGAACACTCTGGACACCCACTCCCCTCCCCAAATGATTCTTCTCCCAGTCTCCCCATCTCTGTGAATGGCCCTCGCTCTAATCGCTGAAATCACCCTTACTCTTCCTTTCCCTTCACCCCTTACATTTGACCTGCATGCAGGATACATTCAGAATAGATCTTGAATCTATCTTCCCATCTCTCTGCCACCCACCAGGGCGAGCCCTTTCTTGCTTCCCTTAGCCTTTGTCATAGAGTTCTATCATTGGTATTCCCCCCTTTCACTTTCCTCCATCCCCCGTGCGATCATCATACAGCAAGAGGCCCTTCAAAAACTGCAAACAACGCCATTCTGCATCCACTAGATGAACTTCTCAGTGGCTTCCCGTTGTATTCCAAGTGAAACCCCTACAAGGCCCACTCTGCTCCAGTCACACTGGCCCTCTGTCAGCTCCGCGGAGCACGCATATCCCATTCTAGCAGCTGGGCTGTAGCTGTTCCTTGGGCTTAGATGCTCTTGTTCCTTCTCACCCTGCAGTCACTCCCCAAGGCCCTGCCTGCTCTGTACCAAAGCAGGTTCTGCCCAGCACTGTCTTATCAGTCTGCTTACTCCCTTCGTAACACCAATCACAATTAACCTATTTAAATTAAGTCCATAACTGCAATTATTTTATTTGTTTATTTAGTTGCTCGCCATGTAAACTCCATGAAAACAGGGGCCTTGTCCCTTTTGATCCTCATTGTACTCATGGCGCCATATAATGCATATTTGAATTCTTAATGACTAGATGTTAGAATATAAGGAATGGCTACGTTTTGAGTGTTTTTATTTGAGAAGGACAAAGAGCAAATTTGAAGTTTGGTGCTTGTGGTTTCCACATAGATGTGACGGCTGTGGTGGTAGAATTCACCAGAGTCAGAGCTAGGGGGAAGAGGAGGCCAGGGCATTGATGAGTGTCAGGATGTATCCTGTTCAATACCTTCGACACTAACCTGTAGGAAGAGTAGACCACACGCTCTTCAGGTCTGCGTGCGGCACAGGACCGGGTGGTGTGGCTGGAGTTCTGGAAGACAAGGAGAACTTGCGGTGATCTCAGGTGGCCAGAGTGGCATCAGCAGTGGAGCTGGAAAGATGCTGTTTGACCTGAAAAGGGGAGACAGAGACCTGCTGGAGTCCAGGGAGCCATCTGACTGCAAAGGGGAAGGGGAAATGCTTTCTTAGCAGTGCTTTGTGAAGTGTGGCTGCTGTTGTTAAAAAGCACTCGGACAACCTTATTCATTTACTCTTCTGCCTGCTGTGACCGAGGCCAGTTCCTGTCCATAAGAAATTCGCAGCCTTACTTTTAGCTGTGGCAGCTGGGATACAGGCTCCAGACATAGGCAGGTGACAGTAACACGCTACCCTGTGATCCCGTGGACCCCGTACGGCTTAGGGTGTCCTAAGCCTTCTTCTGGTGTCATCTCTTGGGAAATGTGTTGTTAGGCCATAGGATTTTCAGAGGGGAGACAACTCAGATGTCAAGAATTCTAAAAGTTACAACATATGATAAAGAACGGCAGAGGGAAACGGAGACGTTTAACCCAGGAAGAGATATGAGTTGAAAAGAACCAAGAGGCCCTTCACATGGTGTGAAAGTGCTCTGTAACAAGGACGGTGGTCCCTTTGGGACCGTTCTGAGCACTGGGACCAGCGTGCACAAGGGGCAGTGCGGAAGCGAGATGCCGCCCCAAGGAGAGGTATGTTGCGACAAAGATGTGCCACTTCTCCACGGTCGAACAATGGCTCGAGCACCCTGGCAAAGGTGTGAGCCACTGTTACCGGGGTTTGCAAGCATCCCCAGCACGACCTTCCGCCGTTCACAGGTGTGCCGTGGGTGGCTGGCGTTCCTAGGGTGGCTGCTGGCTCTGAAGGCAGTGATGCTAAGCCAGGGGAAAGCCCACAGAGGCCCAGGCAGGATAAGCCTCTATTCAAAGACAGTTAGAGAGAGCATAAGTTAAACCGCTTTTCTGTTTGTTCAAAGATTTACTTCTGTACATTTATTCTCTATGGAAACAGGGGAGCTGGCACGTGTGACGTTCCTCATAAAGCTCTCCTATTATCATTGATCAAGCTACCTGGCTGGTGGTCATAAATGAATAAACAGATATAAATCCCCAAATAAGCAGACACTCCGTTCTGTTTTTATATACCACTAAATGCTTTTTTTTTTTTTTTTTTTTTTTTGGCCACATCCTGTAATAGCGGAGGAAGTCTTAGATGATTTGATACTACAAACAATTAAGTCGGGAACCTTTTCCTAATGAAAGGAAATTATAGATATGTGCTTTTCTGGCAGCCTTTAGTACTTCACACTACCAGCCTCCTCTCCCCTCCACCAAACACACACACACACACACACACACACACACACACACACACACACCCCGCATGGTTTCCCTTGTAGGAGTCAGTTGAATTTGGCTCAAGTGCATTCACTGATGTCTTCATCCCAGCACTCACACTCAACTTGCCCTGATAAAAATGTTTTTATTAATAACCTAAAAATTTAATGAGAGCCCTGTCTTTAAAAAAATATCCAGTGCTCCTTTTACACTAAATTTATAATGAGCCTTTGGGAAATTTCTGAAGTTCTTACACACGTATTAATTCCCATTAATTAACTTAAAGGCTGCAATGCAAATAAAAACAGTTCCCATCTTGGGGCGCCTGGGTGGCGCAGTCGGTTAAGCGTCCGACTTCAGCCAGGTCACGACCTCGCGGTCCGTGAGTTCGAGCCCCGCGTCGGGCTCTGGGCTGATGGCTCAGAGCCTGGAGCCTGTTTCCGATTCTGTGTCTCCCTCTCTCTCTGCCCCTCGCCCGTTCATGCTCTGTCTCTCTCTGTCCCAAAAATAAATAAACGTTGGAAAAAAAAAAAAAAACAGTTCCCATCTTTCGAAAGGGCAGGGCTCTGAGTGGGAGAAGGATCCCTGACTCAGGATGTTTCCCGTGCTCCCGTGAGCGGCTGACTGCTCCTTGATTCTGGCCTCCTGCTAAGACCAACACTGAGCTCCAGTAAGACTGAGTGGAAGTTTCCCAAGAAGCTGGCACTCTCTCTCCACAGTAGCAGGCCGGGAGCTGCATGAGGTGACGGAAAGACCAGACACAGGCTAAGCTCAGATCCCAACTCTGTCTTATGTGGCCTTACACAAGTTATTTACTACAGTGAGAAAGTAAAGTCGTATACCACAACAACAGTTCACGATGGTTGTGCAGGCATTTCCCGATTCTATATCCTGTTAACATTAGAAATATCTAAGGGATTCCCCCCAGCTCCACTTAGGAACTGGCAAAAATGACATTATCCCCATTTGCACCAGAAGAAAAACGCAGGTGAAAAGTTAAAGGATTTCTCCCCAAACGTGAAGCTCTGAGATGCATGGAACTGTATTTCACAGGAAAGAAACAAAACAACCCAGCTCTTACTTCTATGAGGCAAAGATAATGTCAATGGTTCCCTAGCCCTAGGGTAATCTGAAACAGAGCTGCACCAGGGCTCTTGCTTAGCAACACGCCCCTCCCCAAACGCACTGCCACGCCAGCTTGACTCAAACACCGCATGGGGACAAATGGCGGAGTCAGAATTTGAACCTGGCATTTGAGAGCTGATGCTTGGGCCGCTAAACCCTTCCTCCAGCACAATAGCCTCCTAGAAGGAGACCGCAGGCAGACATTCTTCATCAGCGGGCTGCTGAACACTGCGGCTCTCTGATTGTCCTCCAGGAAGCTCTGCCTCACGAGGGGAAGTAATTATGCACCCAAGGAAGGCAGAGGACGTACTCTGTAGCTTTCGGCATGGGGAGGGATTACAAGCACTAGCACTGTGTTAGAACAAGTCTCTGGCAATCCACTCTTCCACGATGGGAGGGCCCCGACACAGCCCGGCAGGTTGCAGCCACGAGGCAGAGGGCTTTCGCTGCTTTGCGTCAGGGCCCAGGGAAAAGCAGACAGGAGATAGGGAAGAGGAAGATGAGGAGACTGAATATTGGTTTTCTTAAATGGAAAGTAGCTACAAGTTAAAAAGTTGCTTCAGAAACACCAGGGAAAAGAGAAACATATACAAGCTTAATTAATAGAATTCAGATGAAAGAAGGGTAAAGCAATGAAATATTCATTATAGATCTCATAGAACTATGATGGAAAACAAACTCAATCGAAAGATGCATTAGAGAAACAAAACCCTTAAAAATTAAAAAATTTGGAGGAGGGGTGCCTGGGTGGCTCCGTCAGTTAAGCGTCCAACTCTTGATCTAGGCTCGGGTCATGATCTCATGGTGGTGAGATAGAGCCTCGCTTCAGGCTCCGCACTGAGTGTGGAGCCTGCTTGGGATTCCCTCTCTCCCTCTCTCTCTCTCTGTCCCTCATCTGCTTGCGCACACATGCTCTCTCACTTTCTTTCAAAATAAACAAACATTAAAAAATAATAACAATAAATTTAAAATGTGGACAAAACAAGAAAAAGCCAGCAAATGGTTCAAGCATAGGTTCAAGGTTTCCTGGGGCTTCCTGGGCATTTGAATGATTTGCAAGTGGCAGAGCACACATTTGTGAAGCAGACAGTATGGGTCACGGCAGATGTTGTAGATGAAGACTGGACAACAGGATGTCTCTGTGTCCAATTCAATTCACATGCTCCTTGATGAACTGAAGGCAGAAAATTCTGGAATACAGAAGAAAATAAAACAGAGCTGGGGAATAAAAATAATGATGACAATAGCAATTATAAAAATAGCTAACGTCTTTGTAAAATGTTCTCAGGTGCCCGAGAGCATGCCAGGCATTTTAAATGCATTATCTTGATTATTCCCCATAACAACACAACGTAAGAAACAGGTTCCACCATCATCCCAGTTTACAGGTGAGGATAAGAAGATTCAGACAGATAAACTTGTTCAAGGTCACAAAATAATTAAGTGGCAGACGCAATGTTTGAATCCCATTATCTGTCTGACTTTAGTGTTCGAGCTAATAAAATTTATATAAAATTTCAATCATTGTGTACCTTGTGCTTCTCCTCAAAAGCTCCTGAGTACATGTATATTTAAAATCGCAGTTTCCTTTTTTTTTTTCCTTTCCAAAAGCCATCTTCTAAAAATAATAGGTAAATTGCAAACTGTAAACTTATCATCATGCTTATGAGGGATGTGGAGGTGGGGGCACCTAAAAGATGGGCCGGGAAACTGAGTTATGAATTTATATATTAAAAGATTGAGAAAGTTTTCCTTTGATTTGCATTTTTATCTGAGCTAATTGATGCTTTGGAAAACTTGGAGTATTTCAAAGAGCCAGCCTTTTTTAAGTCCAGGCAAATCCTCTCGTGTTTCTTTCCAGATTGCTCAACCCTATCTCTCCAGCTCTCTCAAGACATTAATATGTAATCTCTCCACCAAGCAAAGGATCAGGTCATATAGTGAGTCACAGCACCTAGTAACACAAGTACTTATCGGATGAAAAAGATTGATCATCCTCCTCCCACCTTCCCCATAGCTGCACTTTGGGATTTGCTATTTCAACAAATCAAAGAAAAGTATTTGCAAATCATGTGGTGTTCTCTGTGTGCATTCGATTCAGAGAAGAAACACTCTCCCCTCCCATGATAATCATCAATAATCTCAAACCACAAAGAAACAGAATCCAAAGCAGATGGACGCCCACAAGGAAAGGAAAAGTGCTTCAGCCCTAGCAGTTTAGACCATTCTGTCAGAGAGACTTAGTGGGAACCTAGAGTGACCACTTCAGTGTGGCCCCGGATACGTTCTAGAAATCTCTCTTCCTTTGCAGTGGAGGGGATGGCAGGAGGGTGGGGAGAGGGCAGAGTTACCCCATCCTGTCCAGGAAAGACCTGAAAGCCTTAATACTGTCATCCAACCAGGGGGTGTTCACAAGATTGAAAATAAGTCAAGAGGGGAGCCTGGGTGGCTCAGTAAGTTGAGTGTCTGACTCTTGATTTTGGCTCACGTCATGATCTCACAGGTTCATGGGTTTGATCCCTGCATTGGGCTCTGTGCTGAGAACGCAAGGCCTGCTTGGGATTCTCTGTCTCCCTCTCTCTCTTCCCCTGCCCCACTCATGCTCTCTCTCTCTCTTTCTCTTTCTCTCTCCCTCAAAAATAAATATATTTTTTAAAAATATTAAAAATTATTTAAGAGTGTGAAATCCAGTTTGTAGATTCAAAAACTCAAACCGCATTTTAATAATCTCATGTTATAACCTTTGTGCTAATTATTACACACACTCCTCTCCCACCCTCTGAAAGAGGTCCTAAACTGCTATCAGCCCTTCCTGGATCCCATACCTTCATCCCAGCATTGGCCACTTCGGCAGAGAATCTTGCTTATTGAGCAAAATTCTCCCAGTGCAAGCATATTAACTACACCCAGGAATTAGCCCTTCCACAGACTATAAGAATTAAGCTCATGATTGGATAGTGACAGCTCGTTCATCAACTTCAGTAGATCAAGGAAGGCCAGGCTTCTAGTCTGTGCATTTGGCCCTGGGAGCACAGGAGATGCTTTTTCCAGGAATCCATTCCATCCTACACCCCTCAGGAGCCCCCTGCCCACTGGAAATCCCCACCTCCCATCCCAGGCAGGGCCTTCCAGCGGTATTTTTCCATACAGAGCCACAGAGAAAAGAACTGTACAATTTAACCATCAGTCACTCCCCAGAAGACTCCACTTTTACCTGTCTACACTTTCTCCAGGAGCCAAAAAGAAATGAGCACATTAACCTGGTTTATTAAATTCAACAATGAAATACATCCAAGACTTCTTCCTTCTCATTCAGTGTATGTTTTTCCTCAAGGGTATGAA